TAATAGTGGCTGAAAGTTTTTAGAAAACAGGTCTTTAAAAGAGCTAGTGACAAACACCCCTAAGTACTTGAACCCCTCCATGGCCCTTTTAAAGGGGAATGTGGATTGGGGAAGTGCCTTTGCCAGTTAATTTACAAAAAACACTTCGCTCTTTTGGATGTTTAGTTTGTAGCCTGATATACGGCCAAATTGATCCAAAAGTAAGACAGTATGGGGAGGATATGGAATTGGAGATCATGAGAAGCAGGTCATCAGCGTGAAGAGACAGTTTGTGAGTCATACCGTGACAGGTAATGCCCTCAAACTTATCAAGGCTTCTGAGCCAGATAGCGAGAGGTTCGATGGCTATATCAAACAAGCGGTGAAAGAGGACACCCTTGGTGTGTCCCACGTTGGAGAGAGAAAGGTGGAGATCGGATGCCATTAGTGTGTACAGAGGCAGATGGAGAGGCATAAAGAAGTTTAATCCAGGAAATAAATTGAGAATTGAAATTGGAATTTTTCTAAAATAAAAAATAGGTAACCCCACTCCACCCTATGGAAAGTCTTCTCGGCATCAAGTGTAACTTTGATTTCAGAAGTGATAGAGGAGGGTGAGAAAATGATATTAAGTAATTTCCTTGTGTTAAAAAAAGAGTGTCTCCCTGCTGTAAATCCTGTTTGGTCTAGTAAGATTATATCTGGCAGTACATGTTGGAGGCGGAGGGCAGTTATTTTGGCCAGTATCTTACAGTCTGCATTCAGCAGAGAGATTGGTCTATAACTGCTGCATGAAGAAGGGTCTTTGTCTTTCTTGAGGAACAGAGAAATAGATACTGTGGACAAAGTTTCCAGCAATCGGCCTACCTGGAGGGAGTCATTGTACATCCTGGCTAAAATCGGGGTTAACTGAGAAGAATATGTCTTATAAAATTCGACTGTAGCCATCGGGCCCAGGAGACTTTCCATTTTGCATAGATTTAATTAGGGATGGGTCACAAATTTTTGAAAAATTGTCGAATACTTGCCACGATTTTCGAATAGTGTTTTTGCTTCGGTTGCCCATCCCTAGATTTAATTGCATCTTGTATCTCAAGGGTGGAGATGGGGCTGCCTAATTCGCTAGCAACTCTCGAAGAGTCGAGAGGGTTGGGGGTTATAGTGAAGATCAGGGGGCATTCAGAAGTGTAGAGATTGGTGTAGAACTCCAAAAAAGACCTACTAATATCAGCCGGGATAGAAGTAAGGATGCCATTGGGAGATCTGATTTGTGGAATTAGTCTGGACTAGAGCTTAGACCGGGCCCAAAAAATCCAGCCTGACCCGGCCCGAGCCCATGCACGTTATGTCCGGGACCTTCCCAGCCCGTCCAATTAACAATAATTATGGGCCCGAGCCCGATTTAAACCTGACATTTTTCAATAAGTTGGCTGTTATAATTAAGAGTATTAAACCACAAGTCTTGTTATTTGAATGACAGAAACATAGGATCTTAATGAATGGTGCAACACGGAAGCATGATTATGTAATAAAACAGGTGTTTATTTTATTTTATTTTATTTTATTTTATTTTATTTTAGTGGTGAAGGGCTGTGCGCGCACAATGTTGCAACATTGTAACTGAGGGCTGAATTCACAAAAGGATTGCGTGGCTTTTGTGGCCGCTAAACTGGTAAAAATGGAGCAAACAGATACGGTCTAATTCACAAAGCATGCGCAGAGGGTGAAATGCTCCACTACCTGCGCTGCCAAGCAGATTGTGTCTCGGTGCTCCGGTGTTATTTGCACGTATTGAAATGAGGTAATATGCATATATTTTTTTTTTTTTTTTTTTTTTTCTATGCAAATTAGCCTCATTGATAAACAATGTCTAATTCATTAACACCAGCGCTAATATCTACACGCAGTTTGAGTGAAGTAAATAACGTCTTTAGAAAGCTGGTGCAAACTGGGCGCTCCTCTGTGGAAGCCTCTCGCCCAGACTTTCCAGTGATCGTGGCAGCAGTGATTGTCTGTTAAATCAGTCTGTAAATAATATTTTGACATTATTATTATAATCATTATTACTTTTATGGCATCCGAAGATATTGATGCGTTGAACAGGTGACAGTCTGCTGTCTTTCTCAAAACGTACTTCTGTCACGCACTTCAAAAGCAATTTTCAATAATTTATTTTACAAAGCGGGGAAAACAAACATGAACAAAAATGGTTCCAAAAAATAATGAAAAAACAGCTACAAGTGAGAGGGAATAGTGATAAAGTGGTCAGACTTGGTCAAATCCACAGCCTCAACCCATCCGTCACTGTTAGACTGACTCACCAGCAGACATCACTACATGAGGGTATACGATATTCAGTACTTTGCCAAACAAAGTCTGCCATTGTTCTGCCACGGTGTTCAAAGCCAGCATTTATACTTTGCCATGTGTGGCTTATTGCAATCAGGGGCAAATCAGGGGCAAACTGCACTCAGCTGCCAAACTTTGTGGGCATGTTTGCGCTGGTATATCATTAGCGCAATATCCTTTGTGAATAGGACGTTAAGACGGAGCAAACTGCGGGTGCAAGTGATGTGCAATTCAAGGTGCTATCAGCGGCCGCAGTTCATTCTTTGTGAATTCGGCCCTAAGTTTGTTGTAACTTTAGGCTATGTGTCATACAAAGTGTGGTTTAATTTTATTTTTTATAATAATGTAGCGTCTGCCAGGACGTGTGGAAAGGATGACGCAGTTATTTGGCAATTAAACCACCGTTTACTGAACAGTACAGGTTACTGTTGGCCGTAACCACGCCAAAACAACCAACAACTTAGCTGTAACTCCATCTGTGCACTCCTGCTCTCTCCTCCAGCTCGCTCATACACACACCAGCACGCGCACTCACACAGCCTTCCTCATCCCCGTCACACTCGCACCCCGCACCTCATTCAATCCCAAATATGCCATTAACTCACAGAACATTGACATTATAACAGAACATTTACTGCAGGGTCGCTACAATACATAGCCTATAACATTATCAAATCTTAGCTTTAAAAAAAAACAAAAACGTCATATCTGACCAGGCCCAGCCTGGGCCCGTCAGAGGGAGGGGGGCTCCCAGCCCGACCCGGCTTGGGCCCGTGGGCCGGGTCAGGCTCGGGCTCGGGCAGAGAATCTAAGCTCTAGTCTGGACGTACTGGCCGCACGAGCTTGTTGAGCTAGGAGCCTCCCGGCTTTGTCACCCTGCTCAAAGAAGTGTTGCCTGCATTGTCTCAGTTGTCTCTCAACAATACCTGTCATTAGAAGATCATGCTCTGAATGTAACAGGAGGCGTTCTTTATAGAGAGAGGGGGAGGGGGAGGAGGAGTATATTTCATCGAGTATGCAGAGCTCATCAAGGATTTCTGTTAGCTTAGCCTTTTCAGCTCTTCTCTTATGTAAAATGTATGAAATGACCTGCCCCCACACAGAGCCTCCCATAAAATACCGCTATCAACATCTGAAGTATCATTAATTTCAATATAAGAGGAGATCTGTGTGGAAACAAAGTCTCTAAATGCACTATCTGAGAGCAAATCCGAACTGAATTTCCACGGCAGAGGGGGGACATAGCAGATGGGAAATTGATGTCAACCAAGGTAGGAGTGTGATCTGAGATGTCTATAGGATGGTATTTGCATGAGATGACTAGATGTAGCAAATTGTTACTGAGTAAAAAAAAGTCAATTCGTGAAAAAGTGTGGTGCCGGTGCGAAAAGAAGGGTTGAGGGTTAATAGATCTCCAGGGGTCAGAGAGTCCTAATTGTGAAGCGTAGTGCAGCACTACGTTGGCAGATTTGGAGAGAGTAGCTTGTGTGGGCGATGATCTATCAAGACTGACGTTTTGAACCAAATTCCAGTCCCCTGCCAAAATAATACGATGATTGTCAGCATTAGGAATTTGAGGGAAAAGGTTCGCAAAAAACTGGTCATCGTCCCAATTGGGAGCGTAAATAGAAGCTAGAATTACTGGGGTGCTCTTTAAGATGCCTGAAACTATAACATAACGGCCATTAGGATCTAGTAATGAGTTTATCAATTCAAAACTAACATTCTTGTGAATAATAATTGCCGCCTCTCTGGCTTTATAGGAGAATTTCAAGTGGAAGAAGTGGCCCATCCATGCCCTTTTAATACGAAGGGTGTCAGATAATTTAAGATGAGTTTCCTGTTAGAATATGATATCACTATTGAGATGTTGTAGCCGTGTCAGTACTTTACCAATCTTAGTAGCGCTGTTCATGCCTTTAGTATTCCAGGAGATCAAGCGTAGTCCTCTACCTGTTGAAGTCATGGCAGCAATCATCTAGGAAGTATCTTGAAGATAAGATGACTTGAATAAATACAGTCTTGGGAAAAAGGTAGAGATAGAAGAGAGGACGATAAAAAAGAAGCCAAAAAAGGAATGAGAAAGTAGAATAAGAAAAACTGCTGAGAAAGGAAAAAGGAGAAAGGGAGAAAAAATGTTAATAGTGAAGACAATAATAATGAAAACTAAAACAATAAACCGTGTGCATGAGGTGAATTTGAGTCCAAAATCTTACTCCTTCCAATGGTGGTTTCATTATGACACTATTATGCTAGTTTCATACTACTATGCTACATTGTGATCTGATCTAATTAATGTTTTTCTCACAATTTGGTTTGCAGGCGGGGCTGAATACATCACAGCACCTCAACATCAGCAGAGCTGTCCAGTTCATTTAGTCTGGACCAGTGATAACCATTTATTTATCCACAGCTGTCTATTTAAAAAGTTTGACAGGAATATTCACCAGTTTATCATCTTTGCCATAACTGACTAAACTAAAAACTTGTATTCCATTAAGATATGAGGGTTTAAGATAGCATACATCATTCAAGACTGTGCTCAGAAAACATTATGTTTTGCCTTATTTGGATATTAATGGTTAAGCAATTAATAGTTAATGGCTGAGATAAATGTAACATGTAGTTAATAGTCTTGTTAATCACATACAACTTGTGTGTTTGGTCTCCAGTCAAAGAGGATTTCAGCAAAAGATGCCCTGGCTCACCCTTACCTGGACGAGGGTCGACTGCGCTACCATACATGCATGTGCAAATGCTGCTACACCACATCTTCTGGCCGTGTTTACACCAGTGACTTTGAACCTGTCACAAATCCCAAGTTTGATGATGGCTTTGAGAAGAATCTGAGCTCTGTGAGACATGTCAAGGGTAAGTTTATCTGCTGAGCCCAGTTATGTTTGCTGTATAAAATACATATTAACATTGACAAAGAGGTTTAAAACAGAGCAGTTTTTCTGACCCAGACCCAATAGATCTAAATAAGCATTAATATGTTTCATCACAGGGTGGCTATTCTTCAGTGGGCTATTTATGACTGTTGGGTACTTAAACTTTGCAGCATTGGAGGTAAAACCAAACAAATCAGTCTGCACAATTCTCCGTTTTACTCCAAGAGTTGGAAGAGATGCCCAGCATAATCACATTTTAGTTGACAAAATGCTAAAACATGATTTTTTTCAGTGAGTAGGCCACACATTTTTAGAATTGGAGAATGTGACAGTCACTTTAGGCCTACAGCAATGATAAATGAAAACTGAAATGTTGAAAAACTGTATCCATTTCCATATAATTTCTTGTCAAAGCAACAGGAAGCTACTGGAGAGGGACAAACCGCAGTTGCACAGTTCCATTCATACTACAATTAATTCTCTGGGAACAACAAGAAAAATGCAAAAAAGATAACACCAATGTTTTTATCTATTGGCTCAATCTGGTGCAGGAGTAGGAGCCCCACTGAGACCCCCAGCTTATGGCTACTGCACATGTACTTAAAGTCCCCATGAAATGAAAAATATGTTTTTCCCATTTTGAATCCTGTGTCCCTGTGTTAATTTATCATTTATCTCTTATTATATGACAAATATATTTAAAAACAAAAATCACTATCAGAGTGTTTTTACACTAAAATCCATGTCTTCTGTCTTTCTCTAAAACCAGGTAAATAGTTTCAAATGTTTGATGACTCATCCTGCACTTAGGGGTGTTACCCACACAGCCACACTGATGATACAAAACCGCTGCTCACCATTTGTTGGTTGTAGTAAACAGAGCAATATGGAGAGAAAGAGGAAGAGATGTGTGTTTGGATATCAGTGGGCAAAACCTTTATTTCATCTCCACAACGATGTGGCTGATGTCTCATTCATTCATCTCTCTCAAGATGTGAGATACCATTGTGACATGTAACCGAGGTAAATAAAGAAAGCACAAATAAAAGAAAAACAAAACAAAAACACTCATTCACACACCCCTAAACAAGGTAGCAAATATTATATCAGAAATAATAAACTGTGACTAAATACAAACATTTATCCCCTTTAATCCTCTGTCTTCTTTGCATTGACATGAAAACAAGGTTTTGTTTTATCCATGTATCCATCCCTCCATATCCACAACAAAACGGGCCTCTTTATAGACAGTCTAAGGTCTCAGTACTTTGCTATACTATACTAAATTAAAACCCCCACCCCCAAGTCCATACAATTCAATATATGTATTTTCTTCCAGACTCTAAGAGTATTTTGAATCCATTTGTTATCTATTTTTGGTTCTCACTTTTTTCTCAAGGAAAAGTAGGCGTTTCTTCGTGCCTTTGTAACGGGCCAGCTCTGTTGACTTTGATTTCGCTTGTATATTGTCCATAAGCCATGTTCGTAATATTTGTATTTGAGCTGCCTTATAATTCTACAAATTAGGGAGAGCCAAACCTCACTTTCTTTAAGGCAGTTTGAGTGTTTTCATATTGACCCTTGTTTTTTTTGTTCCATACAAATTTAAGTCAAATTCTATCCCAGCACCTACATGTGGTTGGATTGACACACATAGGAAATGCTTTAAATAAAACTAAGAATCGGGGGAGTACTGTATATTCATTTGAATTGTGTCAATCCTTCCCACTAATGACAAGGGGACTAAGCACCATCTATAAGTCTTGTTTAATTCTTGTTTGTTCTTGATCATACTTATATTTATTTGTATTTGTATTTTCCATTTCACTGGAAAATACATCACAGTACAGAAGCTTAAGATACTCTCACTTCTGTTTCACTTCAGCGGTGCCCTGTGGATTTTTCTCCAAATGACCAAAAGTTATTTAATGTAGCTCTGTGCCTGTTTTTCAGGTGCAGATGCGATGTGTTCTGCCCCAAAGATGTGCAGTATTTGTCAGGTGGAGGCAGGTGTGCGCGTTGTTTGTGTTTGCAGTTGTCTCTTCCCTCACCACATATGCATTTACAGTGAGGGAGAATCATACAAATATTGAGAGGATGATAATGTATTCCACTGGATTTACTGAGATCACCGAATTTATGACAGATAACAGGAAAATTATCTTTCTGTGAAGACCAAGATTAATAGCACAGTCATATCAGTGATGTGGAGGAAGCGACATGACCCGTTCCTTATTTAAAACCTTTAAAAGCGGGTACTCTGGAGGGATTCCCTGAGAGGTCAGGGAACTTGTTGGGAGGAATGTCACTATAAACAGGAGACAGAGCAGAATGGAGGGAACCGGCATGGCAGTGAAGGCTCCACTTAAGAATGGAGCCTGGGCCCCAGTCAGTATGTGGATGATGCCTTTGGAGCCAGGGAAACCCCTGAATCACCAGCTGATCAGGTGCATTAATCAGGTGGAATGTTGGAGTCTCGTGATGATTACCTGTAATTATCTGTGTGTAACAGAAGATATGAGGTGCCCATCAAAAGCACTGGTATTAATTAACAAAAGTTTTCTGCTAAATCTCTAGCTGGTTGGATAGGGTGGAATCTAAGAAGTTAGTGTCAGCTCTGAAATCAGTGAACACAGGGAATGTGTGAGTATGTTTCGAGCTGGGCACAGAGCAAGGGGCGATTGGGCATTTCAGAGTAAATGGCTTGGCTCACCAGCGCCCTCTGGATTACTGGTGAGATTCTCCGTTTAGTGGACAGTTTGACACAAAATGTCTGCTCTGGCCAAAGTACAGGCAGCAGTCTGGCTTGGCTGAGTTGCATGGACTTCTCTGGTTTGCAAGGGATGCTCGAGACAGGCACCAAGCAAGGAAGACGGAGATGAAGGTGGCAGCCACAGCCTAAGTTGCCAGGACCCTATTGTTATCCTGCATGTTCTTCTTCTTTCTTCTTCTTCTTCCGAGGAAATCCAACTTCCCATGTGCGAAAAATCACCAAACTTTGCACAAAGGTCCAGTCCCATGCCAGATTGCGTCAGCTGCAAAAACAGGCCAATAGTCCTGATGGTGGCGCTACAGCAAGCCTCTAAAGTTCAAAATTTTGAAAATTCACAACAAATCAACCATATGTGCTACAGATTTGCAACTTTCACCAAAATGTAGCCTCGATACTGAAGAAACTTTTGTACATTTAAACATATTGCAAATTATGAAGTCCATCACTGTTTTTTTCAAAAACTGTAAAACCTATGAAACCTATCTCCTCCCACAATTTTTGCTCAATTGACATCAAACTTGCTACAGAGCATCTTCAGACTGTCCTACATAAACAATCCACACAGATTTTTGATTTATCGAAAATTGAGCCTACAGTGCATCAAAATGTTTGACTGTAAAGGGTATTGTAAACATATACTTGCAAATTCTTGCTAAATACATTTTCTATGTTCATTGAAAAAATGACAAAATTTTGGAGTCATGGTAGATGATGTTTGGAAAATATCAGAATTTTATCTCAAAAACTGAATTTTTTACAGCATTTTGAATTTCTCTCTCATGCGAACAATTGGAGTCAATGCAAAAATGGCAATTTTAAACATCAGTTTTTCACTTATGGAGCCAATAAATCATTGTTAAAAACAAATTACCAACATCTCCATGCTGTCTAGATGCAATTTGTGTATTTTCGGATTTTTGTCTTAAAGGGAAATTTCGGTTTACTTCAACCTGTCTCCTATCGTCCTAAATTTGTTTCAAGTGACTTGTAACATAAAAATAATAGTTAGCATGTTAGCCGTTAGCCTAGATACAGCCAGGGCGCATAGTAGCGTCAGACCTGTTAAAACATAAGTGAAAGAGCATACTTCAAGTGCAAAGTTAGTCCACTAAATAATGGACCTCATATCGTTAGGATAAACGACCGCCTCATATCGTTAGGATAAATGTCAGAGAACATAAAGAAAACAACATGTAAACGTATTGTCTTACCTTACTGGTGTGTTGCCATGTTTGTTTACCATTTAGCTCTGCTTTCCAAAGCGCGGCTGAAATATCGCGAGAACAAGCAGCCATCTCATACAGTGCCTGAAATCTAGCGAGCTCTAGATAAAGTCCAGCTGAGTACTACTCCAGGTGGAGGTGTCTCGTCCTCGGTCACATCCAGACCTTGAAAATAAGGCTGCAACTGGTCCCATTCCTTGCAACAGAGGCATTCCTCTTCTGTGGGCATTGGGGCACAGCATTCACAGGTACACCACCAATCTCCAGAGCTACGTAGCCTTGCAGCAGCCATTCCTCCTCTCTCATCCTCTACCTGTTGCGCCTCTCTCTCTCTCTTCCTCCGTTCTTCAATTTCATGAAGCTCTTCATCAGTGTATTCTGGCTCAAATAAATAAGGGCGGCCAACAAACTCTGCAAAATCAAATTCCTCCTCCACAAAGTCGAAGTCTGGCAAAAAGTCAGCCATGATTCTATAAGTCTTTCATAAAGTAAATGAATGAACTTTTCAGGCTACTGTCCGGTTCTGCCTTCCAGCTGTTGCTGCTTGTTCTCGCGAGATTTCAGGCACGGTATGAGATCGCTGCTTGTTCTCGTTATATTTCGACCACGCTTTGGAAAGCAGAGCTAAATGGTAAACAAACATGGCACCACACTAGTAAGGTAAGACAACACGTTTACATGTCGTTTTCTATATGTTCTCTGACAAGCCTCAGCTCATGCAACATTTCCATATGAGAAATCTACCCAAACTTTTCATAAAGGTCCAGTCCCATGCCAGATGTCCTCAACTGGAAACACAAGACAATAGTCCTGATGTTGGCGCTACAGCGAACCTCTAAATTTCAAAACTTTGAAAATTCATAACAAATCAACCATATGTGCTACAGCTTTGGAACTTTCACTTTGAAATTTGCTTTTCCATGGCATGGATGGCTACTGTCTGGCACCCTGATGCTTGGCTTAGTCAATTTGTGAAGCCACACA